AGAGAGAGAAAGAAAATAATAGTAAGAAACAAAGAAAAAAAAGAAATGCCACTAAAAATTAAACAAAAAAAAAAGAAAAAAAGAAAATAATAATAACAAAATAATTGCTGTAGTCGTTGTGTTTTATTTTTTGTATTGTTGCGTGTCTCTCTTTTACCATTTTTTAAGCTTTTAGTTTCGCTCCAGGAAACTTTTTACTTAGGATCCACATAAGTTGAGTATTCTTCTTTCCCATCTTTTTTTCCTTTCGCAAATTCTCACCCACCCATTTCCATCCAACCGCCTCCAGCCTCCTCCTCTTTTCACCCACTTCATTGTTATTTATTTAACATTTCACACATTTTCTTTTTTTAATTTTTATTTTCCCGCAACGAACAATCGTAAAATTGGATTTTGTGTTTTTTTTTTCTTCTTATTCTTCTTTGAACATTTTGTTATTGTCGCAGGTAGATAGTAACAATTTGTCGAATTATGTTGCAACCTTTTCCCCCTTCAACAACCTTCCCATCCCCCTACTTCATCGAAGAATATCTATGATCTAAAGTTTCGAATCGTTATCACGGTTTCCTCCTCTAACAGGGGTGGTGTTTGATCTTTTTTAAAGTGCAGAATTAGTATCGTCGTGACGATAATTCTCGGAAAATTCCATGGGAAAAATTCTCGTAATCCGATTGTGTGTGTGTGTGTGTCTAACAGTACGCTACACAATTAATCGATATAAGATAGTACAAATAATTTTCTTAGATATTTGTTTATATATATAAAACAAAGTGAGAGAGAGAGAGAGAAAAACAATATTCGATGGGTAAGTTTGTTGCGTCATGGTTGTTGCCGGCGAAGCTTTGTATTTTTTTTCCCCCCTGTCCCATGAATTTCGTATTTTTTTTCGATGCTCGAGGAGAGAAAAAAAGAAAATCCAGATCGAGGGGTGGAGGGGGAGTGGTACGAACTATTTCACAAGGCAAGGATTTGTTCACAACTTATTATGTGTACCTCGTGTTTCTCTCAGTGTATGTTTACATTCTGTCTGTCAAGAATATTTATTTCCTTTATATCGGAACATTCGAATAAATATGTTTTTCTTTTCTTTTTTTTTTTTTTTTTTTTTTTTTTAATTCCCAAAACGAAAATTGATTTCTCTCAACAACAATCGTGTGTCTCCAACAAATCGTATTCGTTAGATATTACACAAATCGTGTAAAAAAAATTTGTTCATAACGTTTGTTCAGTGTATTTTAGTAGGGATATTCTCAAAGAATTTCGATTACGTTTAATAACATTTTTCTAACATTGCGATACACATTTTTTCTTCTTTTTTTTGTGGGGGTTCGTGGGGGAGAGGGGGTTCTTATTGCAGCATTTATATCCGTCTCGTTTAATTAATTTCTTTTTCTAACTTGAGATTCTCTTTCATTATATTATTTCCCTCCCCCACCCTTTTTTTTTTCTTTCTATTATTATCCTTTATCAAATCGAGGTATTTCTAAAGTTCAAATAAGGGGAAAAATTGATCCACGATTGTCGATAACGATTTTGATAGTTAGTATTCGAATATGTTCCCGCGTTTAATTAGAAATAATTATATTTTATGTTATCGTTTTTAATTACTATGTATTCACATAAGTTGATAATTTCAGATATACTTTGATTATCTTTTTGATTAAGGATACGAGGTAAGTTTATTGATATTCGACGAACAAATCATTTCATATGTCTCTATTATTCTTTTAGGAAACACTTCATCCAGGTGGCATGTTTTTTATCGAATGGTAAGTGGTATATATATATATATATATAAATATATATGTATATGTATATGCTTTCACACGCACACGTAAATACACATACGTTTATATACACGTTTATTGATCTACGTTAAAGTATTCCTTTTATTTTTACCCGTACAAATGTCAATTAAGCATTTTTATTTTTTCCTCTACGTACATGCTTATAAAAAGAAGAAGAAGATAAACAATTGTCAAGCAAATCCCCTATACAAAATTATACTGAATTTTTATATATTTTATATCAATGTCGCGTATTTCAAAAGCAATTAATTATGTTTCTTTTTCTATCGTTTTCAAATTAATTTTTATATTAAAAGTAACGTAAATGAAGTGTGTGTGTGTGTTTTGTCAGTGAGTTTATACAAATTCTTATTCTCAACATTTTTACAAAAAAAAAAAAAAAAACAATTCGAATAAATTTTATACGTCATCGATAATCGCGCGTGTACTTTAAAAAAAAAAGAAAAAGTAAAATTATTTTCTTTTCGCAATTATATATTTGATCGCAATTTAAATGAAAAATAAATTCATATTAAAAGTTAATAAATATTTGAAGAGGGATATATTTTATCGCACAAATCAAAAGGAAGGATAGTGTGGGGGGTTTTTAAATATGTGTGCATATGTGTAAGGTATAAAAATTGAATAAATAAACATAACAAGAATATTTTGATTATATGTAATATATGCAGTGATTAACCAGGAACATTCGTACCTATACCCTCTACTGTCAATTATATAAAACAATCAATATATTTTCTTGTAATACGATATTTCCGAATACATATACACAAAGAAACGTATTTGAGGATTATTAAACTTTTAAATTGATATCAAAACTTTAAATTGATATATAATATAAAGAATATTTTATTCTATGAGAAGTATATAATTGTATACAATTGATTATAAAAAAGAAATTCACCCCGTTCGTTTCAAAAGTATTACAAGATGCAAATGAGGACTAACAATAAAATGTTCTTCTGCAATAGAAATATTTATATCAATTTAAAAGTTTAATAATGTTTAAATAGATTTCCTTGTATAAGAATTTTGTGAACCATTGCGTTACAAGTAAAAATATCAATAATTTCAAATTTACAATGGGAGGGGTGAGTTCGAATACTACTCCTGTGACTCTCACTGTATATCATATATATATGAATATATATATATATATATATATTTTGTTATCACACCTGTATTTCGACAGTCTTTACACATTATAAAACGGTTCGAGTCTTCGTTTAAATATGTAAATAAGACGATAATTCTATTTTTTCACAGACGATCGAGACAACGTTCCGCATAAAAGGTAAATATATGTATAATATATGTGTTATGTGACTTTTCTTATATCACTTATATCTAATAGCTAAAAAAACAAAACATCAAACACGGAAAATGCATACAAATTATATGTATATATATATAAAAAAAAGTAAGAAACTATAATCCATCACAAGTAATTAGAAATAAATAAAAAATAGGAGTGTACAACACGTATATGTGACACGTAAATGGGATAATTTTTTTCTCGTGATTTCAAGCTTACAAAAAACTTAAAAAAAAAAAAAAAAAAAAAAAACAAGTGCAACATAATAATCTTTCGCACGTTGCCTTATATATGTGTATATAAGTAAATGTTTATATGTTTTATTATATACTTGTAATCTATATCAGTGTAGGTTTAATCATAATTGAAATAAAGATATCATAATTATTAAATATCGCAAAAGCCTTAAGGCTCTCGATGTTGTTTAATGAGTGTATAATTAATTATTATAATTAGATATATTTATGCGAATATCACTTATGGTATATGCTCGCGAGATATATTATCACGTAATTCTCGACTTATTCTTCGCGTGTTTTAATTCTATATAATAATTATCATTTTACTATATTATTATACTTTTATTTTTCTCCCCGTTTCCCCCTTCTTTTTTTTTTCTTTTCTATTTTTTTCGTGAAAATGTTCATGAAAAAAGACGTATCGGAATATGAATTGTTTAATTATACATGAATATATGACACATCGTAACTATAATGCATTATATCATCTCATATAGTGGTCTCTTATTTCACATTAGTTTGCGAAATATTTTTCTTTTTTTTTTTTTACAAATTATGTATCCGAAAAATTTGTGCGCTAACCAATTCGACGGTAAATTATTTCCCCCCCCCCCCCCTATAAATCTTTATTATCCATTTACTATTTCTTTTCTTCGTGATGTTTATCGTTAAAATTTTTAAACATGGAAAAATGCGTTTATATTTCATAGAAATTTTCCTTTCATCTTTTTTTACATTATATATAATTTTCTTTTCGTTTATATAAACATCATCATTTCTGAAGGAAAAACCCCATTTGTTTTCTTATTTATTTTTTTTGTTATTTTCCGTCGATTTTTTGTTTGTTTCTCATCTCTCTAAATAGTTAGTACACAAGTTAAATTTAATATTATTATTATTATTATTATTAAATTTTACCACAATATTTGCTTCAAATATTATCAACGCGGTGTTTGTTCGCTTTTCTTCTATTTTTTTTTTACGCCGGGGTTCTTACTTGTATAATTGGGGAGGGTTGGGGGTTGATGAACAGGGAAAAAAGGCCTTTTGCCAAGTTTATAATCGTAGTGTCAAATCACAATAATTTACGATCACGATGATCCTAAACGACTTCAGTCGGGTGTTATACATTTTTGTTGTTTAATTTTATTTATCGAACGATACCGATAATTTCAACATGGTAAAAGACGATGTTTATAGAATATTTTTCTTAAGCTCGTGTATTCATTTTTTTCTTTTTTTTTTTTTTTTTTAAATGTGTGTGTATGTATATAAAGCACGACGATTAGATTTTTTTTCTCTTGGCAAAAATATACATGGATGGCAACACTAAAGTTGACAAGCGTAATGTTTGTTGGTTTTTTTTTCCTTTTTCTTTTCTTTTTTTTTCTTTTTTTTTTTTTCAATCGAACACATCATCCTTCGAATCTTTTATAAATGTTTTTTTTTCCTTTCGTCTACAATTATTTATCATCAGCCATTTAAATTCGAAGAATTTATTTATTGATTTATTATTTACGTACGCGAACGTTCTCTCTCTTCCTTCGATTAAAATAAAATTAATAATTAAATATACAAACGTCTTTTTAAGTAAAATATATCTGGGACTCTCTTTTCGCACGGTTCTTTTTTTTTCTTTTTTACAAGTTTTAACAAATTTCTCAATAAATATGATTTCTTTTTTTCCCCGACAAATATTTCGTATCAAAGACAATTCGTCGAGAGACACAGGAATAATTCTACTTTATCACAAATTAATTTCTTTTTCTTTTTTCTTTCATCGCGTAAACAGAGTCCTGGGTGTATTTTTTTTAATGACGTTGTTGCACTCGCTATATCATCATATTTAGGGGAGGGGGGGGGGCGAGTTGTACGTGTGCTCTGGTTATCACGAACAAAAAAAGAGAAAAATTCATTTCACGCTCTTCATTTAATTTATCATTTAATCGTTAATTTGGAAATTTTCTAACTTTAATTTTACCTGTCGTCATCGTAATTACCTCGCACACACACCCCCGCGGTAATGTCATATGAAAATCCCCATTTTGTAATAAGTAATCTTAAAATATTTCGCCGTAAGTTGTTACAATTATAATCACTCGATTATTATCAAATAATATATATATATATATATATCTAGTTCTTTTTCTTTTTTTTTTTTAGCAATTCTAACAAAGTTATACATATATATATAAATTCTAATTCGGATTTTATAATATTGCAAGAGAAAAAAAAAAGAAAAGAAAGAAAGAAAGAAAGAAATAGACACGATTCGATATAAAATTAATAACACATAAAAAGAAGAAGAAAAAGAAGTAGTAGAAGAATAAGTTGCTTCCTTGTCCAAACACACTTGGTTGTTTTTTTTCTGTTCCTCTCCTACCTTTTTCCCTTTCTATTATTATTATTATTATTATTATTATTATAAACCTAATGCATTTTAACGAATGATCTTAAATGTTCGGGAACAATTTCGTCGAGTTGTTCTTCCTTGCACCACCTTCTTATTACCTTGGCCGCCAAACACGTCAAGGTAACGTATTTTAGTGGATTGATAGAATAAAAGTTTTGCTTGTTGCGTAGCAAACACTTGAAGGTTTTCTTATCCTTATTAACGGTATCGATATGAGCACCTGCATCGAGAAGCGCAATTGCAAGTTCGGGACGCCAAGGTGACGACATGGCAACCCAATGCAACGCAGTATTTCCATTCTTATCTCTCGAATTAACATCGGCCCCAACTTTCAACAAAGCTGTCGTCAAATGCGGCGAATGAAATTTGCAAATTGGATACCTTCCTACCAATGCTACGTCATCACTGTGCACCAGTTGCAATGCGTCACGATCCTTAAATAGAAATTAAAAAAAAGAAAAGTATTATAGAGGGTGAATGATGATCTTTGTATTTTAAAACAATCGGATTATTATCTTACTGATTGATATTTGTGGTATCAAGAAAATCAGATTTTTAATATGTTAATAACAAGAATTAAAAAATATTTTTTACTATATAATATATATATATATATATTTTTTTTTTAAATAAGTAATTTACCTCTTTGCCCTTTGCATTGATTCGAACCAAATCGTAAATGGCTTTGTGTATGGCCTCGTACTCGTGTGTACCTTCTTGGGGCATGTCGCGTGTCATCAAACATGCTAAATGTAACGTGATCAATAAAATTCGATTTAACGACGATACGTCACGTTCTCTTAATGGAACTTTATCTAATAATTGTTTGCCTTGTCTAACTTCTACTATCTGAAACCAAAGATTTCGTTGTTTCGTGTTAAAATAATTGGATTATAAAAATAGAAGAAATAGAACAAGAGTGTGAGATAAAAATAATAAAGTGAGTCAATTATATGAAATGTGGTGTATTTTGTTGTTGTTGTTGTTGTCATTATTGCTAAATGCTTATATGCAGTATTGCAGGATATTCTATTAGTCATTAAGTAGCAATAATTATTTATCACGATTTCTTTTTGTTTGCAACAAAGAATAATTGAACGTAATAGCATGTTTATCTTTGTTATTTATTGTCTTTGAGTTTATCGTTTAGCAAATTTATTCTCTTTATGTGGAACTTTTAATATCCGCATAAGATAATTAACTGAAGGAAAAAATAAAGAAAGAAAGAAAGAACTTGACAATAATTATTATATTGAAACAAAACAAATCTTCTATCAAAGTTCGGAATCTAATTTTAATATAAATCATCGCGTTGATATTATCGTACGTGAAATTAATAGAAGAACTAATTCTACGAATAATAGTATACACAAAAATCATGAATACGTTTCGCGTTACATGTAATACCATCGATGGTACAACACATCATCACACGTTGACATATTAATTCAATACGTTAAAACGTGTAAAAATGAATTGAATAAAAAAAAAGATCGTGCAAAATACGATTCGTTAAATTGCAATTAAAATCATTTTAACAACAATTATCACTCTCCTTTTTTTCTCTCACTCTTGTATTTCATGTAAAATTGAATAATAATCTACCCTACTTACAGCCTTTAAGAAAATGTTAAGTATTTCAGTTCTGTTAACGGGTGGTACTCTGCGTCCTCTACTAGTTTGTCTACCTTCCTCGCCTATCATAAAGCTAAAAAGTTCGGCAAAGCTAAAGAAAGAACTTTGCGTCGTTGGATTTAATGGTTCAAGCATTCCCTGTTGCATATCCAATGCATAATTCCATAGTTGTATACAACGATCGAACCTTCCTGCATCGGCATAAACTGCACCTCTGTAACGAATATAATAACTCGTGTCTGGATGTGCAGGGCCTAAAATTCTTTCCCTAATCACCAATGCTTGCATACGCATGTCATCCGGGTCTGCTAATAATTCATCCAATTCTTCGGGTTCGCATATCTCTTGCACACAATCGTACGCCTGTACTGGCATTTGTGGCTTTGGTTTTGGTATAACGTGCCTTCTTCTATATCTAAAATAATATTATCGAAACAAATTGTATGAGTTGTTTTTTCTTTTTTTTATTGAAAAATAGGAGGAACATATATATATATATATATATATTAGGTTGTCATATATATATATATATATACACATAGATATGTAACTCATTTGTTACCCCAATTTATCTTTATTTTTTTATTTTCAATTTAATGCTTAATTAACTCTACTCACACACAGTTTTATTGTTTCAATAGTAATATTAACTATTTGCGGTTGTAATTTTATTTTTTAATGTATATAATTATATATATGAATAACTGTGAATATACTTTATCGCGATAGGTACAATTATATATCTGGTCTCTATCAATTATCACGTAATAGCTTATAAAATGAATTTTTTGATTGAAATCATATATCGCAGAGAGAAATTTATTTTTCCCCGACTTTTATATTCACGGGTTGTAATTTTAAACCAGACGTAGCACGCATTTATATGCTATATATGTTGTATGTATATTCTATAGATTTCATTGACGTCAGCTAACACTTTTTTTTTATTTATTTATTGAAACAGGTAAATTGCTTCTTGTGAATTATTCTTCGTATAGAATATATATACCCTACTAAGATTACAAATTACATTTTCCCATGGAATTATCTATGTTTTATTTTGATCGCAAAACATTAATCATATCGAATATAATATAATCGAAATAATATGATTAATTAAAACGTCGAAGAAAAATTATCGAATGATATTTTACCTTTCGTCCATGGCACGTTTCCAAAAACTCAAAGCACCCACCATGTCCCTTTTTTTGTCGACGTATGTGGCACCGAGAAGTTCTAATGCATCAATGCGTTCTTTGCGTGTTATCAATTCTGGAATTCCTAATAGATATTCGACGATATCGGTGTTGCCTGTTAAAACAAATCCAAAATATAAAAAGGATATTGTTTGAACATAGTTTGTGTCATTAATACAAAATACAATATTAACACCCAATTTAAAATCCACTTTTATAAATAACTCGTGTGTTAGGCAAATCAATCATTGATAGGAATAAATCAATACTAAAAAAAAAGGTTTAAGAACCTGTAACAGCAGCAGCTAAGAGTGGGGTCATTCCGTAAGAATCAACGTCCATCTGAGCTTTGTGTTCGATGAGTAATTTAAGGATTTCCAAAGATCCACTTTCTGCACAGTCATGTAAAGCCGTATTACCCCTGACCGATTTTCGATTGACGTCCGCGTTCCACGCCAATAGCAATTCAGCTATTTGAATGTGGCCTCTGTAGCAAGCGATCATCAAACACGTGTGTCCATGACGATTTGCTATTTCGATGTCTGAAAAAGAGAGAATACGCGTGTCATAGATGTTGGTCGTCTTGTATAATTTCGCAAGGAATATTAATATTAGTTAATATAATCAAGATTTTTTTTTTCCTTTTTTTTCTTATCCAAAATTTATTAATATTATTACTAAGTTTACTCTTAGGGAAGTTGTTTTTTGGACGGGTTTAATTAAGATGAACACTATATTTATCCGTTGAACGTTTCGTCTCTATTTGAGACTTCCTCAGCAACTTGATAGTTATGTTCATAAGTCAATATAACATCATTT